ATTTTTATAAAATTTAAATTTCCTAATTGTCGCGCCAAGAAAGATTAACCCTGCACCACCGGCCATGCTTGATCCTGATTGGGCCATTTCTCTGTAAACCACTACTTTCGAGCTAATTCACAAGGTCAATGATGACCGGTCCCGAAACTGTGTATAAACGCATGAGCTGTCCGCTTTGATCGACCATTTTGGTTGAGCCAAATACACAAGCTTGCCTGAAGGTCCTGTCTTCCTCTTCTGTCTGGTCGGGCTCTGGGGATCGTAGTGGTTCGTGGGCGCTTTCTCCGTTACCGTTTCTCTGGGTCTCGATCTGGGGTACCGCAATCGTTCTTGCCGGGTACTACTCTCTCTCGCTGGGTCGTACGGTTCCACTCGTGGGTCACGCTTGCTGGTCGTAACGATACAACAAGCATATCGATGGGAAGACTGCAAGCGGTGGGTGCGATCAGCGCTGGATGAACTCCATCGGATTCGGAACCTGTCCTCCTCCTGTGCCGGCCCGAAAATCACACGATCGATCGGGTTCATTTATCGATCGGTCGAATGGTTCAGCCGCAACGAGGGACCTGGTGCCTGCCCAGCTAACCCGAGCGAGAAACCACATCTTTTTTACAGCTGTGAGTTTCAGGCAGGCCCAGTGAACCTCGACTGTGTAGCAGGAGTGTCATCAGCACTCAGATGAACTGGAGCATTAGGAAACGTACATGCTGGTAATCAGACAGTCTCGTGTTGGAGTGGGAGGTTTTAAGCGCCGCAGATCGCGGAATATGATTCAATCAGATCGCATTAGGGATCAGAGGGAATTTTCTTGCTTAAGGTCGCGGGTGAGAGGGGCGAGACGATCGAAAACGATGAAGCAATCGCACTGTACTTTTTGCTGTCTGATCATCACTTCAAGCTGTATCGTGGACCCCGTTGGAGCTACACAGCTCATCCTCCCATGGATGTCTGGATAACCATAATGCAGCATTGACCTCTTAACGACCTGTTAGAGCGCGGGGTTGACGCTTGTGCGACGTGCTTCGGCTATACAACCCAAATCCCCATGACATATCTTGATCCTTTACCTCGCTAGTACACGTACGCGTCTGTAAGTGTGTGTGTGTGTGTGCGTTCGTCCCCGTCACCCCTGTAAAGTCATCATGCCATACCCCGTTGATACCAATGGATAATGCGCAATCAATGCTGGAGCCGTTGCTTACGTCCGTCGCATGATGCTTCAATAGAATTCGTAAGCTGCACCTCAAGTGGCTGCAGTAAGACAACAATCGATCGTGCTCCATCGATATATGCATCAGAGTTGGCCAGATTCGCATCTATACCTTTTTCAATTTAAGATGTTCAAATATTAAGCAACACCTTTGTAGACTATGGTGAACGCAATATACTTCATTCTTTGGTTACTGTTTGGTTACACTTCAGTGAGATCACATTTAGGTTTAGAATTCCATGTTTGCGTTAGAAAAGTAGTCTAGAGGAAAACTGAGTAGCTTTTGCACAAATAAACACTGAAAACTGAAAACGACTGAATGTCGGTTGCACTGTTCACTGAGGGTGTCATGAAAGATTTAAATTTCTTCGATGCACAAAGACTTAGTGAGCCTGCATACTTAAATTCCGCTTTAATTGAACCGTGTGTTATAAGAAGTAATGAATGCCAGTAACGGAAGTAACATAATTTTCATAAGTTCTGTTTATTTTCTCACACATATCCCAATCGCTTTTTCATACCACCCAAAGCATGAACAACCTGCTTGGCTGGCACTACCAATAAAGGCTGGCACTGCGTGCAACTATGTTTTAACTGGGATCTCAGAGACACATTGCGCAACTTGGTTCGGTGATAGTTTGGTATGAGACGACCATCGTATCGCAGTTTTGGAATTTACTCGAATTTACTCCAATGATTGAGGGCTANCTACGATATAGCAGGTGATTAACCATATGAATATACAGATTCTCATTTACAATCGTCCCATTGTTTACTATGAGATAAAATAGCATTTTAGAAGGATAATTATATTCTACTCGAACAATGAAAATCAGAATCACGTAACATGGTGTGCATGTTCCAAATTCGAAAAACAGTTGGCCGGAAGTTTGCAGTATCCAATCTGAATAGACATATTGATGAAATCAGGTACCGTTGTTCAGAAGACCGCATAGCGTTTCTCGTAACTAAACAAATGTCTACTGTTTTTCTNATTCTAAGGTCAGCAGTTCAGTATCCGGTGAATGCATGGGAGGCACCGCAGACAATTCGAATTCTGGGCAATCGTTTTATCACAGATACCTGGATTATTCTTTCCGAATTACGATGCATTATTGCGATTGAAAATTTTTATTCTGAAAGTCATCTATATCGTCCCCTATCATCCCAGAAACACCTTCGATTTTATTGCCAACCATAGTAGATCTTATTTCCGAATGCGTGCGGACAGTTGGAAGTAAACTCACCAATGCCATTGGTCAAGGGCAATGATTAAATTTTGGTAGTTCTACGTCGAAATGACGACACATTCATACTTGTCTTCGGTTTCTCAGTGATCCCCACACTCCATCGTTGTGCAAGCCAACTGTCTGTCGGATGCATTCCCATCTGGATGAGGCATTCGAGCACCGGTTTACGATATTTACGACGAAACGCTACTGAGACACATGGGTAGACGACCGAATAGACACCGAGAAAGAAATAACCGATGTATTGAACATTAATGTTAATTTTTAAACTGTCCGCGTTTGGATATTTCTGCGCGAACATGATGCACACAGCCAACACACTCGACCCTGCCTGAAGCCATAAATCTTGGATGGCATTCAAACGCATCTCTTTGTAGGCTGCCGCGTGCCGACTCTTGTCCCGAATTCGTAATACATGAAGCACGTGGTGATACAGATAAGCTCCGGTCCCGATGGGGACAAGAAAATTGTACACCAGACCAATAAGTATCACCAGTCGTAGAGTGATGACCACACGACTGGGCATGAGAAAATCTTCACCCACATCACCGGTACACTTATTCTCGACGTCATTGTAGTGAATGGTGAACAGGTGCGGTGCAGCACCAAGCAGACCGCACAAAGACAGTAGAAGTCCCATAGCCAAGTTGGTCGCTCGTCTGCGTTGTTCAATACGCATGAATGGAAAAATGAATTGGATGAAATAGAAGAACGCGGTCAACATGCTCATGTTCAATCGAACGGCGATTAAACCCCATAGGAGCGCGTCCGATAAGATCAGGTGACACAATATGAAGGAAACGACATGAAAATGCACATCAACATGCAAGGAGCACATGTGAATCACGTAGACAAGACAAATTAGTAAATCAATCACCGTTTGTATAATGCCTGATGTGATCAGTGCATCGGTGACCTTGCGAAATCGGACCAGGATGATCAGTAGAGCCAAGTTGACGCACACACCGAACGCAAATGTGATTAGTATAGATATGAACCAGATCATGGTTGTGGTCATGGTTTCAGCTCCAGAATCCGTCATTTTGTTGGTCTACTACACACACACGTGAGGGGATTGCAGTACATGAATTGGACTATTTTGAATCAGTCAGTGTCACATGATTATCGATCGTAATTAAAACCGGAGCCTATCACGTTACTTCTGTTTCCATGCCCCATGGGGTTCATTCTAAAATGAATAACAATAACGTTTTTTGGAAACGCCCTTTTTCCTTTGTCCATTTCATTAACGCAAGAAGACTTATATGGGCGGGACTGATATTGGTTATCATTTTTGCTGGCTCTCATTCAACTGTTGCATCACATTAATCAATCATGTCAAACAAACAAAAACAGATTACCGGAACTGAAGCGTTAGAATGGACTGGTGGACAAGTGAGTTGCATAATTAGGTTTGGTTGCGGGCTAAGGTCAACTAAGTTCACAAAATTTGATAATAAGTAATGAAAATAGACTATGGCAATAAGGTGATGAACGTGAGTGGGGCGGTTGTCATGACCGTGGGAGGCAGAGGGACATGTCATACGACGTGTAACGGTGGCGCCTGGTCGGACATAATCCCTCCCACTGCAATAGCAGGTCCGCCACAAATATTTTTGGACACAATTGCGGTTTCACGCGTTGAATAACTATCGCTTCCAGAACTCGCGAATTCCATGCACATTGAAATCTCGTTGTGACCCGAAAAGCTGTTGTTGCGTTTTCGTGGTGACCGACGATAGTTTATCGGTGGCGGCCTACTATCTCACCGGACCAACCGAAGTCATTCGCGATCGGGTTCGTTCATTTCCGTCAAGATCACAATGTCCCTGGTCGAAAACAGCCAAACCCCACTAAAAATCAGTGTTTTGTTTAGTAAGAATGAACGGGCATCGTGATAGTATTTTTTATTACACATACCGGTATGATGAGCAGCAAACGGGGCGAACCTCGTAATCATAATGACCTGCTGTTCAGTGACGGAAACCGGTTACCTAAGCCCCGGGACTTGGGGCGGCAAACCACATGAGGCCCCGATAGGTTAGACGTGTTTTTGAACCGGATGGCAGCAAAGCCACTTGCTATCTACCTTAACGAATGCTCATACCTATCACATTATTCAACGATGTTTATTCCACGCAAATTCAATCTATAGCTTTGACACACACTCAAAGCCGCTCAATGTTTCAGGGTTTCTTTCAAACAGTCGCCTATTAATGGCATTCTCAATGTGGAGATATCTGTCCTAATAGCACTGATCATAAAAGCTTGTCCACAGTATTCGTTGTGGGTTAGGCGTAATATCTCACTCCAACCAACCCAAGCCTCATCGCTCTGTCACAAATGCCTAAGTCATGTTTATATCAGCCAGAACAGCCCATCTTGAGAGTTACGTTACATGATCAATCGACATCGTGCGTTTGATAGAGAACCGTCGGACTCGGGAATGGGTAAACACGTAGCATCACATGGCCTTACAGGGCTTTTAACCGACCGGACTTTAGAGGCATTCATGCTTATGTGCTTTTGTGCGCTAGTGATAGCACTACTAAAAATTGATTGTTGAGATCTCAGTCAACGGGACTGTAGTGGTTCTACCTTACGGGATAAAACCAGACACGTAGCGACACGTTACAGTTTCTGGACAACTGTGGTAGGTCAACCCTCCCAGTTGACCCCAGCCAAGCGCCTACGCGTTTCAGATTCTAGACGGAAAGACAGGTGAATCGTGCCGACCAATCATAAGCCGTGCGGTCCAGACAGAAGCTGTATGACGTCACGAATACAAGCCCGCAATTAGTGGATACCTGATAACCAATAGACTTCCTTTGTATATGTAATTTGGTCCCATTAATTTCTCTCAATAAATGAACTGCTACTTCTGTGTTCTTCTTCTTGAGCTTCGGTGACGGGAGATACCGGCGCGAAAGTGCTAGTGCGATTCAGCGTTTCAGTTGCATCCGTGATTCGTAATTCATCATCTGTGATTTGTGATCTGTCTACTTGAACTACGACAGGGACCCAGTGTGTCGTTCCGTACCAGTCACCGTTTGAGTTAAATAGGCTTCCTCAATTTTTCTCGGCACATCTCATCGCTTTCTGAGTCGTATCCAGGGGATATAAAACCCACACCTGTGCACGAATCGAAAAGAAACAGTGTACCTGTGTGCTTGTGTATCACAGCTGGGTTCAATCGGCACACCATTTTTTGGTGACAGTCTATAATTTTTAACTAATGATTGGATCTGCAGTAGTGAAACAGTGATTACGTTTTGGGCCTTTTAAGAGTTGTGGTCCGGTGGTTAAGGTCACCAAATTATCACCCCGGAGGGCGTGTGTTCAGATCACACCACCACCACCACCACCACGGTCTGATCCGCCTAATCATCGGCCGTTGCCGTACAGGCATGCTCGTGATCAGGAGAGATTGCGCATGCATTGACTGAGTGGTACGTACTATGATGATATAAAGCACTGGGTAAAAATGTGTCAAAAGCAGGTCACAGCCGAGCACTGACTTGCCACAATCGAAGTAGTTCTGGTATTCTGTCGACCGATTCCGTGATCGGTCTTTGGCTAGAAGTTGGTTCATTCAGTCTCGAACGCGTTGCATATCAGGAAGAAACTCACTGCATTAACTGATGAGGTCCAAGAACCATCTGAGCACAGCCAATTGCTTTGGCAATGGCTTTAATATTCTCTGGATTGGGTCGGTGGTCATTTTGTCCAGAATGAAGCCGCGATAATTGATGGAGGTCCTGAATAAGTTACACTTACTTTCTTGGAATCTAAAACTAAAATCTTGAATCCGTTCATGCACCGTACTCAGTCGGCTAAAGGTTCTTCTTGTGTTCCGTTCATAAAGGTGACATCACCAAGGGCTGCTGCAGTACCCATGATATCAGTCAACATTGTGTCGTACTTTATTGTATTGTATTCAAGCTTTAGCGAGTTGTATATACAAGCTTTCAGCCAAAAAAATTGACCACCGTTACAATTCTGGTAAAAACAGGAGGGGGGGAGTGGGATGTGAAAACGTANNNGTGGGATGTGAAAACGTACAAGGGTATGAGTTAATTACCAAATGCATTAGAAAGCTCAGAGCGAACACTTTCCTTGTCGGTCAGTATCCGGACAAGATAGGGTACCAAAGAGTTTCTGTATGCGGATATGCGAGACGGGATAAGTTTGTACTTGAAACGGGTGCAGGGGGTGGGATTTGCATGCACACAAGTCAGTGTGCAGAGGATGGGTGCAATCAGATAGGATATTGTCAGCAAACTTTAAGCATGCATCAATATGGACATTACACATATTGCCAATCAGAACAGATAGTGGAACTTGGGAGACACGGCTGATCATTGAGAGGCCACATCTCAGCAACTTGAAATCAGCCTTCAACAAACCAGGGAAAATTACAGGAGAGTAATAAAGGAGTATAGG